TCACGTGTAAATTCCTCTTTAATCAATTCGAACAGCCAAATCAAACTCATACTTTTATTTTTCTAATTTTTTTTTGTTAATTTTTTTTTTGTTAATTTTTTGTTATTCAAGTCTTCAACATATGGGCATTGGGCAACAGTGCAAGTTATTGAGTTATAAAAATTATAATTGTTGAGTATCATATTTTATTAAATACAAAGTAGCAACTTGTAAGTAACATGGAGTAATGCTATCTAAATTTGCGGGTAGTCAAATAATAAGTTACAATGAATTTAGATTTTGCTTACATGTTTTCACCTTTCACTTAAAAAGAGTTTTTCTTGTTTTAAACAGTCAGGATTTATTCCCTTACTAATATTTTGATTAGTTTTTGAGTTTAGGGATAAAGTTTAGGCAATTTTATCTTTTTAATAATTCTATCTTTATTAGGACTTTAGGAGTGTGTTTAGAATTTTGGCTAGTTGGTTTTTCTAGGACTTTTGATGTAATTAGGAATTTAAGTACTTATTTGTATCCTATATACTGACATTTAGGCTCTTAATAAATCATTTTTTGTCGCATTGAAATTTATAAAGTTTTACATAAGCTTTGCTTGTGTATGGCCTTGTTAAGGTCGTGTTGCTTAGTATTTCTTGACTGAGACTCATGATTTCAAACCTTTTAACTGAGATTGAAGGTTATATACTACCTCCGTTACAGGTTATGTGCAACGATTTGACATAAAGTAGAGAGGAAAAATGTCTAATCGTTGCACATAACCTGTAACGGAGGTAGTACATTAAAATTCATATCAATTTTATTTGAAAATATGTGAGAAATAATCAATAAAATTAAAATTGGTACAACTCTAAATAAGGTAAAGAGAACAAGCCTTAATTCTAATTCAGCGCGTTTCTGGAGTGGCTGGCCGCACCATGCGGTAGGGTGCCAAATCAACAAATGATGAAGTAACCCCCAGACAAAGTAACCCCAGACAAAAGTAACCCCTGACTGACTTAGTAACTCTTAACCAAGTAACCCCTGTCCTGGTAACCCCTAGTAACCCCAAGTAACCCCTAATCGACCAAGTAACCCTTGAGCTAGTAACCCCAAGTAACCCCTAACCGACCTAGTAACCCCCGACTTAGTAACCCCAAGTAACCCCTAACCGACCTAGTAACCCCTAACCGACTTAGTAACCCCCGACCTAGTAACCCATAGTATTCTCAAGTAACCCCTAATCGACCTAGTAACCCACAACCTAGTAACCATTGACCGACCAAGTAACCCCGACCTATTAACCCCTGACCGACCAAGTAACCCCCGATCAACCGACACCACCAGTTGCACATTCACTCCCATACCAACTGCCCCACGCCGCCAACAACCACGCCACCACCTGACCACCAATTTTCGTACCAACTGTGGTACCCACTGCCCCACGCTGCCAACAACCACGCCACCACCTGACCACCAATTTTCGTACCAACTGCGGTACCCACTGCCCCACGCCACTACCAGCAACCCCCACCAAACCACGCCCACCAACCCACACCAACTCGATCTGATCCCAAAACCCACCCTAACCACCAGCAACTCCGATCCCAAAACCACCCACACCAACCAAGCCCAGCAACCCACACTTAGCCTAACAACCCACACCACCCTCGAAACCACCAAAAATCAACACCACAGACGATGAATGAACCACCCACGAAGACGATGAAGACGCAGATCGACGATTATCTCAAACAATGATGCCTTCAATTGAAAATGGTAATCAAAGCTTTGATTATCTCCAACAATACCACGCCCACCAACCCACAATGATGCCTTCAATTGAAAATGGTAATTAAAGCATTGGCTATCTCAAACAATGATGATTGGAATTTGTTTTATTATCGTCAACGACCAAGTAACGATTGAAATTTGCTTGATTTTTCATTTTTTTGAGGAAATTGGAATTTGCTGCACATTTTTTCTCGAGAAAATGAAGAGGAGAGAGAAAGGAGAGAGGAGAGAGAAATTTTTTTTTAAAAAAATAATATTGTGGCTGGCCGCACGGTGTAGCCAGCCACATATGAAACTTTGTGATTCTAATTTATTGAATACAAAAATATATGGAATTATGTTGTCAATAAGAGGTCGATTTTAATTTGCAACCCTTAAACCCTTCTGCGTCAATGCCCATTCGCAGTTTGTCCCTTCTCTGTATTACCTGACCGATCAAGCCACCCTTATTGAATTGAAAATATGTTAGAAGTCGATAAGTGTAAGTCTATAAGCATTGACAAAATCTTTTAGAAGATATTCTTGATGGATTGCAATTCTGCTATTAACAGATGGATTGGCAAATTGCACATTTCAATTCATGTATTCATTGAGTCAACCATCAAACTATCCCATCCGATTCCTTTATGGTTAAGGGTATATTGATTAATAATAATTTTACATTAGCGTAGATATTATTCTTATTTCAATGTGTATAGTCTGTGTTAATCAAACTGGGTTGCTTCAGGATATTCAAAATGTGGGTTTCTCGACCTCGACGGCTGCGCATAGTACAATGCCATCTCAGTGGCTGGCAATTTCACCTCCTTCGCCAAGGGTAAATCGAATTTCTCCCCCCTCTTTTTCTGCTTTTCCTAATGCACTGAATATAATTGAGGCAGGGAGGAGACTTGTTCATTCCCTTCGCAATGGTCGTGCGGCTTTTTCTCGTGTTTTGCTGGAACCGATTCCGGACACTTCTCCATTTTATGAGCCGAATTTTCCTATGATGCCGGTGACAGAATTTGATCCTCCTAATTCCCTTGTTTCACAACCGAATCCTATGGGTGGATATGGTGGTGTTAGTGATCTTGATTATGTTCAATTTTGGCCGCGAAAAAGGGTCCGAGATGAAATTCACTATGAAGCTCGGTCTTGTGATAATGGTTCAGTCCGGGAGTGTTCTTTTACGCCGGATTGGGTCACAAGGAAGAGGAGAAAGACTCTTGATAGGTGGTCCGAGAAGGGTGGTTTCAGTTTATGGAAAAGGGATAAAAATGAGGGCTTCGAATTCAAGTCAAAGGCAATTTCTGATGTTGATATGGCTAGGAAATGGGGGGGTGAAGGTGCGTGTTTCGCGGCTTTGCAAGGCAGAAAGGAACAAAGGAAAAAAGAGAATGCAATGTTCATCCTCCTCTTCTTTCTCAAGCCCTTCTAAAAAGAGGAAGGAAGAGGAAGTGAATTCTAAGCAACAAAGTGATGATGATGACATGGAAATTGAGGTTCAACAAGCTATTTGGAAGTCTATGGATGAGTGTTTTGGTGAGGTGGCTGCACCAGATCAGCTCCCGAAGGATATATGAAGATCATTTCATGGAATTGTAGGGGTCTCAATGACACACTAACCCCTACACATCCATACTTAGTGTGGCTTATTTCTACTAAATTTCCTATGTTCTTGTTTTTATCCGAATCTAAGATGTCTTTTGTTGATGTAAAACATGTAGTTAATTCATTCTCTCCAAATTTTTCTTATGGAGTGGATGCAGATGGTACTAGAGGGGGACTAGCGGTTTTTTAGTTGGTATCAAGGGGTTGTTACTTGTGTTTTGGCTACTCCGAACTACATTTTGTGTAACCTTGATGATGGTAATGGAAGCAATAGAAATGTGATGTTTGTTTATGGTGAGCCTAAAGTAGAAGATAGACCTAGATTGTGGGATGAACTCACTACTCTCCTCTCGATAACTCCTAATTGTCTTTTGATTGGTGATTTTAACCAAGTTGATTGCTTACAAGACAAGTTAGGGGGTTCTTTAGTGATAAAGGGTTTGGATGCTTTCATTGATTGGCGGCTTAACAATGGGGTGATCGAAGTTCCTTTCTCGGGGCCTCGTTTTACTTGGACTAACAAACGCTCGAAAAATGGTCTCATTTTAGAACGGTTAGATAAAGACTTTTGTACAGATCAATGGTTTGTGGATTTTCCGGAAGGAAGAATTATCCATGAAGCAATAGTAGCGTCGGACCACGCAGCAATTATTTATGATTCGAATCCTTCTATGCCTCGGTCCAACCGTCCATATCAAATTGAAAGGTGGTGTCTACGTTATAATGCTATCGCGGGAATGACTATCGATATTTGGGACATCTCCATGAATGGTTCTAGCATGTTTGTTTTAGCTAAACACCTTAATTTATTTAGGACTCGTGCTAAAAAATGGTGCTTGGCTAATCGTACTTTTTGGGGTGTTAATTGGCGTTCCATCACGAATAATCTAAGTAACTAAGGAGATGCGATCTTGACAATCGAGGAAGGGGAAGAGTATGTAAAGGGGGTGAATGACATTATCCCTAAGTGTAGGTTAGATTTTCTTTTTTGGCAGCAACGTTTGAAAGATAAATGGGTTAGAGAAGGTGATATGTCTTCTACGACTTTATTTAATAGGGTTAAGCAAAGACAAAAACTAAAGGAGATCATCACCCTCAAAAATGATGATGGCGAGTGGATTAGTGGCCATGATGATATTACAACTTTAATTCAAGGTTCTTTGAAGAAAGTCTTCATTCCTAGCCTAGTGACCAGTAATCCGGTGGAGGATGATATTGATCTTCTATTTCGTGAAATGGTCTTTCCTCAGTTGGAAGATTCAGAGGCAATGGCATTGGTTAGGCCTTTTAATGGCCAAGTGATTCGGAAGGCGATGTTCTCTATTCATCATCTCAAGTCTCCAGGGCCGGATGAAATCATTGTTGAATTTTTTCATGTCCATTGGGAATTAGTTGGGAGTTCGGTGATAACGGCTGTTCAAAATTTCTTTGACACTGGTTTTTTACTGAAGGAGTTTAATGCGTCTCTCCTTGTTATGCTTCCATAAGTTGAAAATCCGGAGGTTGCAGCTCACTTTCGTCCCATTAGCCTTTGCAACACCATTTATAAATGCATCACGAAATGCATGGTGGATAGGATAAAAGGTTCTCTTCCGGCTATAATTATAGAATTCCAACACTCTTTTGTTCCGGGTCGATATATGGAAGACAATATTTTACTTAGCCATGAGTTAACTCATGTTATTTCTAGCACGAGGATTAAGGATCCAATGGCCGCTCTGAAGATTGATATGTCTAAGGCCTATGACCGAGTTAACTGGATTTTTATTCTCAAAATTCTCAAGGCTTACGGTTTTCTTGACAAGTGGGTACAATGGGTGGAACAGTGCATTACTACAGTCTCTTATAAATCTTTAGTGAACAGAAGGGTCACAGAGTCTTTTAAAGGGGATAAAATTTACGAGGCGCTCTCCTTCCATCTCTCATTTTTTCTTGCAGATGATGCGATGATTTTCTTTAAAGCCACGACCTCTTCCTATGACCACTTAGCTGGTCTTCTGAGGAGATTTGAAGAGGTTTTGGGTCAACAACTTAATCTTCAAAAATCTTTCATTCGCTATAGTCCGTCAACATCAACTCAGGATCGACAATGTTTCAAAAATATCTTGAAAATGGATCAGAAGGATAATTTAGGGACTCATCTGGGGTCCCCTATCGATTTCACTAGCAGAAGGGCGGATAATTTTCGTTTTTTGGTGGATAAGGTGGCCAACAGAATTCTACAGTGGAGTTCGATTAGGCTTTCACAGTCGGCCAAGCTAGTCTTTATCAACTCCGTCCTCATTAGTATCTCCTCCCATGTGATGAAATGTTTCAAATTACCGGCCTCTACGACAAATGTGATTGACTCAATCATTGCTAGATTCTTTTGGGCCTCGACCAGGGGAAAGGGTATGCATTGGGTTAAGAAGGATATCCTGCATCTTCCAAAGGGGATGGGTGGCTTAGGGATTAGAGCGATGGGGACGCTAAATGAGGCAATGTTGTTCAAACAGAGAATGCATTGCAATCCTCAACTTCTAGCCTTTAGGGTGCTTTATCAAAGTGAGGAGAGCCCTCTCACTACAGGACAAAAGGGATAAAAGTTAGGCCTCTCTCCCTCATGGGGAAGGAGGGGTATATTCTCAGTTACTTACACTCTAATTGAAGGTTTTGCTTGGAAAGTGGGATCGGGAAAAATAATAAAGTCGGCTAACATGAAATGGGTAAATGGAAAGGTGCCCATTATGGCCTCCAACCAACTTTTGAGTGAGGTGGGGGCACGAGTCGTTAGTGAGTTTTTGCGCAATGATCCTAGTAGATGGGATATTCCCCTAGTGAGAAAAAGGTTTGACTAGGAAAGTGCTAAGGAAATCTTAAGCATGGAGCTGTCTAGTGACTAGGATGAAGATTTTTCATATTGGTCGCACCATAAATCGGGGAGATACACGACTAAGACAGGTTATGCTTTTCTTCAAGGCTCAAAAGAAATGGAGTCTTATCACAGCAGGTATAAGGAGGTGTGGAAGATTCTGTGGAGGCTTAATATTCCCCCCAAACGGGGCCTTTTTATTTGGAAGTTATTTTTGAATGGTTTGGCAGTCAAGGCCAACCTCCATCATAGGGGTATACCAGTGCAGTTAGGGTGTGACTTATGTGGAGAGGTAGAAGAGGAATTCCAACACCTTTTTAGAGAGTGTGCAGTGGCACGATATGCGTGGAATAAATTTTCATTATTTTCAACTTGAATCTTGCTGAATCTACTCTTGTGCGACAATGGATTCAGAAATATATCCTTCTCTTCTATAGCGAGGATGGCATTCATAGCGATAGGATCACTAAATTAGTAGTGACTCTATGGTGCTTATGGATAACTAGAAACGGTCGGGTTTTCAGAGGGGGAGATGGTGACGGGGAGGTGTGGCTTCATCATACGGACAGAGCAATGAAGGAGATGGAGATATTTCGGGAGAAAAAGGGTAAGTACCCTCAAAGGGCAGATGATGAGGTAGTATATGCCGACTTTCGACCCCCCGGGGTTTCTTTACACTTCTATGGGAAAAGAGGACTTCACTATACTCCATCTGCCAGTTACAACGCAAGGGGTTACAGTTTTGTTTGATGGCTCCTGGAAGAAAAGTAATGGCAATGCAGGGTTAGGATGGGCTTTTTCTTCAGAAGGAGATATCTTCCAGGATGGTGGTGGGCACTTTTGCAAGGCAGTTTCGGCTTTACATGCGGAGGCTCTTTCCTGTTTAATGGCTTTAAGATGAGTTATTTCGAAGGGGTTTCCTAAGGTTTTTCTTTTCTCTGATTCTTCTAATCTGGTTAAAATACTAGGTAATCAGCAAACAGGGCCAATTGACCATATTGGTATATAAGTTCACACCCTTATGACATATTGGTATATAAGTTATTGCCGGCGACATATTGGTATAAAAATTAACATGTGGCGACATTTTGGTATATAAATTAACAAATTGTGACATTTATCCCTATTTTTTCTTCAGATGAAAGAGCGTGTTGTATACTTCAAAATTTTATTTTAATTACTTTTGCAATCTTATTTATTATCATAATATACTTATTCAGCACCAAATAATAATTTTTCCCTCTTCCCTTCCAATACAATAACTTTGATAAATCAATCAAACAATAAACCCCAAAGAACTAATAAACAATAAACAAAATCTCAATATTAATTATTTAATTTCAAAACCAATTACTAGTAGACGCTAACTTTCATTATTACTTCATTTGTTTAATTATACCCACAACTTTGTAAATCAACAATATAATAAGAATATATATATATATATATATATATATATATATATATATATATATATATATATATATATATATGAGGGTTTTTTTTTTTTTTAAAAAAAAGAAGAATCTACCTTGTGATACTTCAATACCAACGCCCTCAATACATTCAAGATTATATCCCTTTGCTTAAGCCTTCCTATTCGTTTTCCCATAGCTTCTTTCTCATCACTTTTGGGCTTTCAACTTTTTTTTTTTTGGAATTTCACCTTATAATTTTTTTAAATTAATATAAAAAGTAGAGAAAAGTACAAAAAACAAAATGTCAAATAAAAGTTATTAGCACTAAAATTAAGCGTGTGTATCATACGCATATCCTCCGACGAGAAAATAGGGGTAAATGTCGCAATTTGTTGACTTATATACCAATATGTCGCCACATGTTAATTTGTATACCAATATGTCGTCAGCAATAACTTTTATATCAATCCTTCATAAGGGTGTTAACTTTTATACCAATATGGTCAATTGGCCCAGCAAACAGCAGATATCAATATTTTGTGGACTATCCGGGACATCCAGAGGATGGCTGCTACTGTTCGGACTTGTGTTATCTGGAAGGTAAGTAGGGACCAGGTGGCTTAGGCCCACGATCGAGCAAATGCATGTAGAATTAATCTTTCTAGCTTTGTTTCTTAGTTTTCTTGTGTTTAGCTGTTGTCAAAAAAAAAATATGTTGACCTTGTTATATTGTACTCTTTTTTAAAAAAAAAAAAATCTTATTTGCTTTTGATAATGTGTACATGAGCTAATCCTGAGCTTCAATCATTATGTTAAGTTTTTGGTTGAATCGATTCTTTAACATAATATCAAAAGTAAGCATGACAAAATGGCTAAAGATTCAAATTTCATCCACGCCAACTTATAAACGAAATATTTTGTGTTGGGTATGGGGCATGAATGAGGTTTTTTTGTACCATTTTTAATGCTCGATCATATTCATAAGGAAATCTAAACACCAAAAAAAACATTCATAAAGAAAATTTAAAAAACTATTACATCTCAAAATGATAGTCACTTAAGACAAGCAAATCAGTGCACAAATGCACCTTTCAATTTTTGCTTTTTTTCATCTAGTTAAAGAAACAAACTTGACTAGACGTGGTTCAAAATAATATTATTGTGGACCTGAGATTCATACCTGTGCATTTGACCTTTTTTTCTTTTTTTTTGAAAACCCGTTAAAGGTGCCTTATATTGATAATTTGTCCATCAAAACATACGGGGAAACCTCACAAGGACAATGGTTTTCCCATATTTGTTCACGATCATAAGGAATTAAACGAGCTAAGTTATGAGTAACTGCATTCCCTTCTCATTTAATATGAAACCAAGAAACAGAATTAAAAGAAATACAGGAGGATAAAATATCATCTAACACCCCTTCAAGATCAGTGTAGAAGGTCGAGGCTTTAGTTAATCTATTGATCAAAATCAGGCTGTCTGCTTCAATTATTATGTCCGAGTAACCAAAGCTTCTTGCAAGATTGATTGCCATGGAAGCTGCTTTCCCTTCAGCGATAATTGGAGGCTAGTGAGCTCTATTCCGGCGTGTAGCAGCGAAGAGTACATCACCCTTCCAGTCCCTGGCAACAACTCCCAATCCAACCCACCCATCTACATTAAGAGAGGCGTCGCAGTTGAGCTTGATGGTGCCTTCAGGAGGGGCTGCGTGAGCCTTTCTTGACACCCCCATAAATCCTTTTAGAGTATGCGTTACAGTCAGAAGCAAGCCGTGAAACCTGATCCACTATAATGGGGTGGTAAACCTCTTTGCCATTAAAAATCAACTCATTTCTTCTATTCCATAAGTTCCACATCAAGATAGCTCCCCTACACTTCTTCTTTGCATCGAGTTTTCCCCATGACTCAAGTAAATCAAGGAAAGTCATACCGTTGGGCCAGAGAGACATTTCAATGCAGTCGCAATCCACCCAGAGCTGGAGTATTGTGGGGCAATCGAAGAGGGCATGCTGGACAGTTTCGGGAGTACCGGAACACCACTGGTAGTCAGCATTTTCTGTCATGTGCCTGTACTTGAGATACGCTCTCACAGGGAGGGTCCCTGTACTGTGCACACTCTCCAAAGGAAGTGACGAACCTTTGGGGTGACATCTAAGCTCCAAATATCCAACCAAGACTTGTGAAAAAGATCAAGGTTGCAAGACTTATCAAGCATGTAAGCAGATTTGACAGAGTAGCACCCATCAAAGAAGAACGCCTATGAGATTACATTCGGGGCAGCCTTAGAATTTAAAGGAATATCCAGAATGCTACGAACGTCCCTTTCACTAAAAATCCTCTCAACTCGCTGCACATCCCATTCACTAGCATCATGACTAATTAGATAGCTTACCACTTGAGCCTCTTCTGTACTCGGTGTTGTAATGAACCGAGTGTCACCATTATCAACCCACGGTTCGCTCCAAATATTGACCGACGACCTATTCCCTATTCTCCAAAGTACTCCTTCTTTCAATAAAGCCTTCGAGGACCACACACTACGCCAAGAATAGCTACCTCCAATTCCAAGGTGGGCTTCAAGAAAGATTTTTCTTGCATAATACTTTGCACATAGTACTTTATATAATAAGGGAGTCTGGGTTGCTCGTGAGTCTCCAAGCTTGACAACCTAGAAGAGCATCATTAAAGACTCTTAAGTCTCTAAATCCCATACCTCCAATACATTTAGGGGTACAAAGATCCTTCCAACTCTTCCAATGAATTCTTTTTTTGTCTCCGTCTTAACCCCACCAAAAGCGTGCAATCATAGAATGAATGTCATCAATCATCCCTGCTGGAATTTTATATACTCCCATGATGTAGGTTGGGATGGCTTGAATCACATATTTGAGTAGAATCTCCTTCCCTGCTCTTGATAAAAAAATTTCTTTCCACCCCAAAAGTTTTTTCCATATCCTGTCTTTGAGAGCCGTAAATACCATCTTCTTTGACTTTCCGATGATGGTTGGAATCCCAAGATACTTATCATGTTTATACACCTGCTGCATTGCTAAAATCTTCAATAATTCTTCTTGCATTAGAGTACTGACGCCTTTGCTAAAAAAGACCTCCGATTTTTCATAGTTAATTTTCTGTCCAGAAGCATGTTCATATACGTTGAGAATTTCAACGATTTTCAAACACTCCCTTCGGTTGGCTCTTGCAAAAAGAAGAATGTCATCTTCAAAAAGAAGATGAGAAATTTTTGGCCCCTTACGACTAGCCCTGGCACCATGGATAGAGCCATCTACCAAAGCTTTCCGCGTTAAGC